AGCTGCCACCCAGTGGGACCCAGACAGTCCGGAGGGATGGGCTGACAGGAACCTTATGAAGTTCAACAAGGACTGATGTGAAGTCCTGCACCCGGTAAGGAAAATGTCCTTGCAAAACACATGCTGCAAACTGAGTGGCCAGGGGACAGTTTGGGGAGAAGAATCTGAGGCCAAGATGGCCTCAGAAGGAGAAGGCTTAAGGAGGGCCTAACAGCAGCCTTCCAATACCTATGAGGGAGTTATCAAGAAGATGGAGTCAGGGTCTTCACCCTGGTGCATGGTGAAAGAACAAGAGTTAAAATGCTGGTTGATATGAGAAGTTCGGACTGGATATAAAGATTTGCTCTAGTGGGAAACACGTTTTTATCCATCTAGAGAGGTTGTGCAGCCTCCATCCCTGGAGGTTTTCAAGCCCTAGCTGGTTAAAACCTTGAGCAACCTGGTCTGACCCCATAGCTGCCCCTATTTTGAGCAAGAATTTGGACTACAAACCTCCTGAGGTTCCTTCCCATCTGAGTTAGTCCACGATCCGGACTGCAAATGCAACATTGGGCTTTGCAAACATGTGAAAACACAAACTCTGTCCCTTTTCAGTCCCTGTCTCTGCCTGTGCTGGTGGCGAGAACATTCCTAAAATGGCCAACTTCAACCGTGTGGCTTATGTATCGCTCGTTAGTTCAGCTCCTCCATGGGCTGCACGCACAGCACACAAGGAACGCGTTGCTTTCCTTGGGTAGGCAAATGGAGTTGTCCCTCATTCCTCAGACACCTTGACACCGGTCCCCAGCCTGGGATGCATCAGCTGTGAAGAGATGCTTTTTTCCACGGGTATTTTACAGGACAAGTAGGCTGGGGCTGGCTGTGGTGTGGGCACACACAGCAATGCTCTGCGGATTGGCCTCTGCCAGTCTCGTACTGTATTGTCTGTCTGTCCGCAGGGTACCTAGGAGTTCCAGTTTGCCCAAGGTAGCAGAGGTTCACCTTCACAGCACCAGACCCCAACAAATTTGGTTCCCAAGCAAAGCTTGGGAGACCCACCTGGGGAGCCAGGCACCCCTCAGCCCAGCCCAGCGCTCCACACAGCCACAAGCAAGGACCCCTGCCATAAACTCTCCCCTGCCAGGCCTGAGGCCCCTCTGGGCTACGGGGCATTTGGGTATGGTGAGTACAGGGGGAGTTTGCTCTATTTCTAATACTGAAGAAATACTGGACACCCACTGATAAAGGGTCCCCAAGCCCCCCAGCATGTTCCCTTTCCCCACTACATACCCATCCCTTGAAGAGCTCTGCCTCCTCCTGGTGAGCATCCAGCACAGCCCTCGGTCCTCCTAAACATGCAGGGAACAGAGCTGTGCTCCCTGCTGTCACCAAGGCAGGGCAGTGAAAGCCTAACAGTTGCTTAAATAACAGATGGGGTTTTAAAAAACAACAAAACAAACCAACCAACCTCTCCCCTCACTTCCAAAGATAGGTTCCCTCCTGGGAAAGGCCGATGAGGGAAAAAAAAAAAAAAAAAAAAAAAAGAGAAGGGCAGGGTGAATTTGAGAGGCAGAAAGAAGCAGGACATCTGCTTGAGAGCTGTGACATGGCCTGTGGGCCCATCCCTCCACCCTAAATCCTTCCGTACCTTCCCAGAGGCCCCCCTGGTCTGACACAAGCTTCCCGTGCCAGCTAGCTTTGCCTTTCTGGGCACATAAGAAGTAGTTAAAGCACATGACACTTATGCCAGAACACTTAGGAGAAGACAGAAATCCCACATTTGTCACTGTGGCGGGAATCAGCTGCAAATTAGCTTGAGGGAAATAAATGTAGATAGGGCAATGCTTGCCACGCTGCAGCCCGCGGGCTTTGTACTGGGTTAGCAAAGCCTTGGGACAGAGGCTTGGCAGGCTTGCCTTGTCCAAATTTCTACTGACTTCTACTTTGTTTTAACTTGGCTTAGCTGTAACACCAATTTTTTCTTCTGAGCAGGTGGTTCTGGCTAATTTATTTTTACTTATCATTGCTTCATACTACCTTAGTTTTACACAGATCGTAGCCTGTGCAGAGTAAGATATTTGTCACAAACATACTGATGCAATAAAAAGAAATGGCAGCCTGATATGACAGCAGAGACCTTTAGAAGCACAAAGGATGCCATGTAGAGAAGTACAGCCACGGGACAGTAAGAGATGGTGCAGAGACTTGGCCCTGGAGACTCTACAGCCACAAACAGCTCACAAGTGGTCAAAGAAACACAGACTTGAAGGTGTGACCCATGAAAACCAGTTCTGTCCAGAGACCAAGTATCCAATGTACATAAAAATGCGAGAGATGTAATGTGGAGTCACACAATGGAAAAAGGGAGCATCTTGTGGCATGCCGGACTGCATGACTGAGCCAGTTTTTGTTGCACAGATGGGAGGTGAGCAGTAGGTGTTCAACAGCAATTTACCATCACCCAGCAAACCTTCAGGAGCAGGAGTCAATTTTTCACTTTCTTGCTGCCAGTAACTGACCAGAACCTCCTGCAGTTCACCGTGCCAAGTGACCCACCAGCCCAGCCCGCGTCTCCTTTACATCAGTTAACCCCCTCCCTTTAAACCATCTCCTCCTGCAGAGCATGCACTTGCCCCTTCTACGCTTCCGTTATATCCAAAACACCACCAGCACAGTGATTTGGGGGAAGACTCAAGGCAACTGCCATGCTTTTCACACATGCTCCCCTGTGAAAAACAGAGGGGCAGTAGGAGACCCCAAACTCAAAGGGAGGTCTCAGTCCCAGAAGGCCGCACACAGGCACAGCAGGGAGAAACCCCCCATGGCAAGACACGCAACCCTGGCATTTTGGTGACTGCTGCTGACAAGAGACCCCTCACGCTGCCAGAAGAGATGGGTCCCCGGGGTCAGGTCCTGTTCCTGGCAGAAGCTACCACACACATCAAATCCAAACCACTCCTCTACCTAGTGGTCAGTTAAGTAAAATGGGTTTTAAATAAATACACCCTCTCTCCCCCTTAGCCCCATGATCAACCCACGGCATTTTTATCTTTGAAATATCATTTCTTTCCCGTTCCTTTTGGAAGACAGATATGGCTGAAAAACACGTATTATGAGTCTTTTCGGTCCCTAAAGATTCAAACTACAGTATTAAAATTCACCTTTTCTCCACAGGGTATCTTAAATGCTTGGGAATAATCAAGTACAAATAGACTTTAAAGAGGGCAAGCATCCTCTTGGATCGGCCGCTCCGTTTCTTAGTCACATTCCCACCAGGTCTGCTATATCAGTATTTTCAAGAAACACAGAACAGAGAGGAATGGAGTCTTTTAGCACAGAAGCAGCAGCGAGACAGGCAGGACAATCCCCTTGCCCCCAAGGAAAATATTCAGATTAGTTTTGACTTGTTCAAAAAAGAAAAAAAGTATTTCCCCAATGCAAGTAATGTAAATAAGAACACAGGGAATTACAGCATGAGAGGGTATTAAAAAAAGCTGCACAGGCCTCCTGCACTTCTAAACACCATCTCCACTAGCTGTACTCGCTGCCAGTTTCCGTTTGTTACCAGTTAGTATGCAAAACTTGTCCACTACAAATTGAATGGCCAGTGTTGGGCCACTGACACCCATAAGGAGGTGGTATTTCCATGATGCTTTTATCACAAGAGCAGATAAATGTAACTTACCACCTTCTATATCCTAATGCACTGTATTGGACAAGTCACCCTCAAAAAAACTGTGTCAGAAGTTCAAAAAGGAGGTGTTTTTCCCTGGTAAAGGTCACGATGAAAAAGCAAAGAGACACACACTCATCTGGAGCAGGGAGACTCAGAGCACTGAGCAAGTACGGGCTCAACGCACCACGTTTCATAGAAACACAGAAGTGCTCGTGGGAAGTGAGCTCCAGAGGTCTCCAGTCCAGCTTCCCACAGGACTGTTACCTGTAGGTCAAGCCTGTCTTGTTTCAAAATGAACTGGTGTACAGCACCCAGACAAAGAAACACAGAGCAGGTGCCAAAAGTCAGCTCTGTAAGGAAAGTTTTGAAAATAAATTACCTCCAAGATTGTGGGGAAAAATAAAGGGTGAGGAAAGGCTCTTTAGAAACAGTGCTGACACTTACAACCACTCCATGAAAATAAAATCATTATTGCCAGGGTGCCGCTGATCACAGGCACTAATATTATTGATAACACCTTGGATTTGACACAGCCTCTAATTGATAGAAGACTTAAAGTGTGACATTTCCTTTGGAAGCCATTCCTATTGACTACTGCAATCAAGCTAGCCAGCACAAGGAGGAAAAAACCTAACGTCCTTTTCAGTAGAATTAAATTCAACAGCTAAGACATTTTTTAGAATTCCCACTGTAAACTGATACAGAAAAATTCTTGCGGTTCCTTTAATACAGATGAAAACTCTTCTTTAAACTCTCTAGTATTTGAGAGGAAAAAAATTATATGTTGGAACTTCAGGAATCCTTCTTCCTTGACAGAGGTTTATCAGAAGAGTGCAGTCTTAGACATGCTCTACCACAGCAACCTCCCTGAGACCCTCAGGTCACCATAGTATAGGGCAGCTAATGGGGACCTACACTGCTTTATCATGTTTTATAACTGCTCTGGAACAGGTTAAGCTTACTGTTTTTCAGGATTTGGGGAAGATGGAAATTTACCAGAGACACTGCACCTTCCCTTGGACAGGAACATTCTCTTCCAACCCCCACACTCAAAGAATGCCAGTGCTACCAGTAGGAACACTCGTGTTCAGACTGAAACACTCTGGGATGTGCACCAAGAACCTTTCTGTTTTGTCTGCTGTGGGCCCTTCTCTGGGATTCTGTTACCTTAAAAAGCACATTGAGCTTGTGGTTTGCACTACTATAGATAAACACTGTTTTCTAAAAAGAGATAAAACACAGCAAGATTATGAAGCTTGACCAGTATACAAAGTTCTGACAATATTCTAGTCAAACCTAACTAAGGAAAAAAAAATACTGCTTATACAAAGCAATCTTTATTTTCAAATGCTGCACTGCATAAAATTCATCTGATTGATTGACTGCCATATGCATGGCCACAGACCCCCTTCATCCTCCCCACCTTGCTATTCAGCATAGCATGATCAGGCTGATGATGCACAAAATCATTTAGACCAGAAGAAAAAAAAAAAAAAAAAAAAAAAAAAATCTATTTGCAACCCATTACTCATTTCCTTGTAAGTTAACAGTGTTTACCTGGAAGAATCACCAGGAAAACAAACTATTTTATTTCTGCATTCAACTGAAGAGATCAGGCTCACTACAGGGCTGGTCCCATCCGTAGAAGCTGCTGATGCTTTCAGTGCTCTTCACCTTCTTAATCTTGATAAAGAAGTACTCTTAAAAGTTAACCTGTTTATAATAGTGTAAAACTGCCTCTCCCAGAAGGCAAACCAGTGCAGAAGAAAAGAGGGCAGGGTTCCTCTGAGAATGCCATGGCCCACATGGCTTTTCATCAAATAATCGTCCTCCTGCAGCAACCATCCTTTACTGATGTCTTGCCAAGAGATACCAATTCATTTTACCAATGACACACATGTTCTTCCCAAATGAAGTGGTTTTTTGCTCCCAGCAACGTTGCAGAGAAGTCCCAAATTTCATTCTGTAGCCTAGATCTTGCTGCAGATATTATCCATGGGGAAGGCTCTACAGAGATTTTTGATAATGGTATTTTGCAGAAGCATGGTGCCTTTCTTATTTGGAAGGTGACAGGATGTTACACTTGCATGCTTCTGCTTTAACTCCAATGCCCAATTACAGCCAAACCTACAGGTGATGTTCACATCAATCTTTGAAGACCTTGTGTTTTAGGATCTGTATTTTCTCATGTGTGCAGCAATGGAAGCAGAAATCTCGGTGCTCCTCTTATTTTGGCCATAATAGTCCACGAAGTCACCATCTGGCCCAAGCAGGTACATTATTATTGTGTGATCCACCTGTAAGAGAGCACATCGTGGCTTGGTAAAAAAGATCATAGAATACCATGTTGGAAAGGACCTCAAGGATCATCTGGTCCAACCTTTCTTGGCAAACACACAGTCTAGACCAGATGGCCCAGCACCCTGTCCAGACAAATCTTAAAAGTGTCCAGCGTTAGGGAATCCACCACTTCCCTGGTGAGATTATTCCAATGGCCGATTGTTCTCATTGTGAAAAATTTTCCTCATGTTTCCAACTAGAATCTCCCCAGGAGACCCTTGTACCCATTCATTACCCCATGTCTTTTCCATGTGACTCCTTGTAAAAAGGGAGTCTCCATCCTCTTTGTAGCCACCCTTTAAATACTGGAACATCCTGCACATCTCTCAAAGTCAGCAGCAACAGCGTCCTGTTCAGCCTCTGGTTCAGCTGTCTGACAAGACTTCTCACCAAGAAGCTAAGGCAATATAAGGAAAACCTCAACATCCCCTCAATGACCTCTTCTTGTTTTACCCATGAAAATAAATAGAGAAAACTAGTTGCATACTTGGAACGTATGAAGGAATACTTTAAGCAGACAAGTCTTCCCTAAGCTGTTGGCACCCTTCCTACAGCACAGACAAGGCTGGGGCAAGCCTGCGGGGTTCATTCCCCCTTGCTTTTCCCAGTTTCCCTCTACTTCTCATAATGCTCCATGACCCCCACAAGGTATTCAAGCTTCTGCTGCTAATATGATGTAAATCCAATATAAACAGAGGTATTTCATTAAACCAAGTTCACTGTCAGTGCAAACAATGGGACCAAGAGCATCACTGGGATGCAGGAGCTGCAGACAGAGGAGCTGGCACAGAGGGAAATACGTGTGCTGGGAGGGGGCTCCCTCTACTGTCCGAATTGAAATAACCTTAAATGTTCAAAGTAACAATTACTTGAATGTTTGAAGTATTCCAATTTGATTTCTATAAAAATTACGTCCATTGTAAATTTATTTAAAATGCCACTGCAAGTACTGTCTGCATCTAACTGTGACAACATCTTTAAGAGCAAAGACACAAAATACTGAAAATGGAGGCCATGGATCTGTGATTGCTCAAGTGACCACATCATCTTGCTGCCACTGGAGAAAAAGAACCAAAATGTACTTATGCACTGAGAGTAGAACTTTGTTTGAAATTAAGAAATCACATAAACATTTCCAGTACCACAAGCTAAAAGGATGCATTAAACATAATGGCATTTCTGTAATTGAAAGAATGCTTCCCAAAATTTTATTGAAGCAGGTCTAATTCAGGTGTTTTACTCTAGTTTCAAATTTTCAAGATGAGATCACAAAATCAAGTTGTAGGAGACAATTTTTTTAAGGAATCTGAATCACCTTCAACTGGAAGGTAGCAAAAAAAATAATTAAAAAAAAAAATCAGGTAGCCTGCTCAGAGTATCTTAACTCCCCAGCCCATGGAAGATTAAATACAGTCAGGATGGAGTGCAGTTTGTGTGCAAAAGACTGCTTTTTTTCAAGCTGTGCCTGAAGCCTGCACTGTTCCCACTGTATGCACATAAGATCATCATTTGACTTTCAACACAATCTTGTAAACCACAGAATAAAACAAGTAAATTGGATATTCTGGTATTGAGAATCATAACATGGAAATTATTAAATAGGAACTATTTACTTCAAGTAATATCTGAAAAATGCAAACAGATGTTTAGAAATTGTAATTACTAAATGCTCATCTCAGTGAGCACCTTCAAGTCAAAACAAGCAGCAAAGTTTAATTGGCTGTAGTGGACCTTTTCTTCTTCCCCACCTCCCAGCACCTTGCAGAGGAAACAGAACCCGCTCCTGCACAAACATCAGCTTTAGTCACCAACTGGCACAACAGGTCCATACAAGACATAGTGAGGTAAAAAAAATCTTAGCGGAAGAAATGACAGAGTAGTAATTACCTGGATAAGTCTCAGGTAGGCACAAAGCCAGCCTGAAGTTCTCCCTCCCAGGTTTGCTGTTGCTGCCATCCTCTTCCCATTTTCTGTCAGAGACCTGCGTCCTCCAGCCTTCCTGCCCTGAGCACACAGACCTCAACACCAAGAGCCTATGGCAAATCCTGAGGAGATGCCGGTAAACTCTTCCTCCTTGGCACCACAGCTGGGGCTCCCAGGCTGCTCTCCTGCTCCCAATCCACTGGCCCAATCCACTGGCCTTTCTTCCTCGCTGCCCTTCCCTTCTCTCAGTCTCACAACCCCAGCACAGACCAGTGGTGTTCTCCACAGATCCTGAATCCCTTCCCCTACTTCATTACATCTGTAGTCACATTCTCCAGCTGGGTTTCACCCTCCAGCCTCCCTTGAAGCTGCCATCATCTACAGAGTTATTTTCCTTGGCTGAACCCCTGTACTTTCCCTTGCGACTAAGGAAAAAAAGGAGAGCTTACCAGCTCTGGAAGAAGGGGCAGGCAGCCCAAGAAGAGTGGGATCCTGTCAGGTCATGCAGAGAGGAAATTAGAAAGGCAAAAGCCCAGCTGGAATTTAACCTGGCCACTGTTGTAAGGGATAATAAGAAAAGTTTTTATAAATACGTTAACAGCAAAAAGAGCCAGGGAGAACCTCCATCCTCTAGTGGATGCAAGGGGGAACATTGCCACTAAAGACGAGGAAAAGGCAGAGATACTCAATGCCTTCTTTGCCTCGGTCTTTAATGGCCCGACGAGTTATGCCCAGGGTA